CAGGTCCGCCGTGAAGCCTGGTCCTGGGAGATGTTTAGGGCCGTGCCTGATTGGCATGGCCTCGGCGGAAAGTAGGGGGCATAAGCCTGCCATCCCTCACATGTCCGATGGATCCGGCTGCTCTCTGTGTTTGCGTGGCGGGTCCCTTGTGCACCAGGGAGCGATGGTGAAGGACGTGTTTTTTGTTTCGTACCAGTGCCAAGGGCTCACGCTAAGCATTTTCTTAGGGTGGAGGGCTCAGGGTGAAATCCATATGGGCTTTTGCACCTCGAGAATCCATCCGTATTGTGATTCACCTTTTGCAGGTTCAAGCCTCGAAAACCAATGGAAACACCATTTCAGATTTCACCCTTTGCCCTCCACCCAAAGAAAATGCTCGGTCACGACACGTGGCCGGGCCAACATGCACAGGGCCACGGCTGGTCAGCACCCCAGGGGCAAGGCCTTGAATATTTTTTTTTGGCAACGCTCACCTCAGACCAGGAGGTGCCATTGACCACTCTGTACACCCTAGCGGAGCGGGTGGGCCCAGGCAACACGCCCTGAAGACAGCCTGGCGCTCCCGCGGTGCCCTCCTTCGCTCCTGGCCTCGATGCCGGTGCCCGCTCATCGAGGCCAATGAGTGCGTGTCCGCCCGACCCAGGCCCTGCCTGCCACCACACTGCGAAGCGCGTCTCAGGGCAGTTTTTAATACATAAGATTCGTTTATCAAAAAATGATTAAGTAATACATAATTAATTTCAAACATAATAAATGAATAACAAATGCATAACTTTAAAAAACATGGGATTTTGAATACATGACCAATGTATGAATGAATGTGTGCATGAACTCATCGCTGCTTTTGATACTGAATCCCTGCATTTTTTTCATACATGACCCGCACGCGGAGCATGTATGAAAAACGGCACTGTGCGGCGTTGCGGCCGGAAGCTGCGGCGTCGAGCGCGCCGCCTGCCTCTCTGGGGGAGTGCCGGCGGCGTGGAGTCAGGGGCTGAATACCGCCAGAAAGATGACCAAGAAAGGAGTGATGTGGGGAGTCTGGGCCACCTTCCCACAAGTTTCTTGAAACAAGCCTGGGCCAAGGATTGCCGCTCACGCTGCTGAAAAGGAGAATGTGCTCAAGAAGCCGGACCAACTTTCTCACAATCCGATCAAAAAGCGCCGGCCCAGCGTTTCGGGGGGAGGCCTTTTTCTGAATCAGATGCTCTCGACCGTAATTTGTTGTCCACGTGCTCGGTCTGAGCCATCTCGGCTCCAGTAATTACGTCCCGGTTCTGTGGCTCGTGGCCCATGGGTGGCGGGAGTGGCAGAGGGTGAAGGAGGCCCTCGAGCGCCACCCCGGCAGGCAGCCACAGGCCACGGGGAGGAGGCGCCGTCCTCCCTGCTGCAACGCTTGGCAATCGCGTGGGTGCTTTAAAAGACCCTCCCCCCTGCCCCCTCCTCTTCCCTGGTCCCTCCTCTTCCTTCATGCTGTCTCTCTCTCTCTCTCTCTCTCTCCTATAGTGGGCCCCAGAAGCAGCAAGGACAATGTTTCACCGTTTTCGAACAGGCGTCTCTTGAACATGGAAGCGGTAAACAAACAAACAAAAAAAAACGACCGGAAACGGCAAAACAAACGACTCCGGGATTGAATCTGGAGACGGATACGGGAAAACAGCGGCGACGGAACCGGCAACAAAAGCGGCGGCAAGGAAACGGCGAAAGAGATCCGGTAAAAACGGCCCTGTCGTTTCCAGGGCCCGCTTATTGAGCAGGGACCGACCGTCCCAGCATTCTTAGCGGCCTACCACGACATGCTCGAGAACCCAAAAATGTTCGAAAAAGGAGAACAATGTTCTTATAATACAAACCACATGTACTGAAACAAGACGGTCTCAGCCAGAAATGCTCTCAGAACACTTCGTGCACACCAAGCAAGGTTCTCAGAACACTCTTTGGTGGTCGGCAAGCCAGGACGCTTCGCCACTGCTTGAACTAAGTCCCCTCCCTCCCCCTCTTCCCTGGTCCCTCCTCCTGATTCATGCTCTCTCTCTCTCTTTCTCTCTCTCCCTCGCCACCCCACATGAGCGACGATCAAAAGCGGGCCCTACGCGAGATGGCGTAGCGACCTTAAGCCGCAGCTCACGCGGGCCGCCAGCGCGGCACGCCACATTGGGGACGAGGGCGCTTGCTCGCAACCTTACGCGGGCAGCTTACGCGCCGATGTCGGCGCAGACGACTTCCCTTTGTTTTTGCGTCGCTCACATCGCATTCGCGCGAACAGAGGCTCGGCGTCGGCAGCGCTCGGGTGGGTGAGGGCGGGGGGGGCGTCATGGCCTCGGCGCTCCTGGTAGGCACAGGGCCTCACAAAGTCTGGCCGAGACCAGGGGCGCTGCCTTCGGTCGGGCGTTGAAACAAGCACAAACGTCGTCAAACATGGCCGGAAATCGTCCCCGGGCGATTTCTTGACTGTCTTTGCCTGCTCCTCCTGCAGAGGGGCACGCCCGGCGTCAGTAGGCGTATGCCCGAAGACGTCGCCGGCCACGGCAGCCCCGCGCGTGGCGGACAGCCGTCGGCCCCGGAGCTCCTGGCGCCTCGCCTGTTCTCCTCGCGCCGGGCGCTGCTGCGCCCCGCTCCGGGCCACGGGGGGCCCTCGCGGTCCGATCCGGCTCGAGAAGCGGCGCCGATATGAAGCTGGGGTCCTGGGCTCCGGTGGCGATTGTCTGCGGTGCTGCTCGTGTTGTAGCTGCAGCGTCGGATCTCAGAGGTGTTCCGGACAGCGTCGAGAGAGAGCCAGACAGTAATCCCTGCGAGACGCCTCGAGCAAGTGGGGCACAGCTTCACTCGAGGAAGGTGAAGGAGTGGAGGGAGGAGTGCACTGCCAGTGTCTTCCTTCATCAACTCCTCCCTCTGCCCTCCTGCCCCTTCGCTGGTTTATCCCCACCGCCTCCAGACGCCGTTTCCTCCTTCTCCTCCCCTTCCCCTGGTCCTGATGTCTTCTCCACCTCCTGCTCGTCCACTTCCTCCTCCTCCTCCTTCCACCGTCTCCTCCCGCTACCTCCCAAGGTGGTCCCAGCCTGACGGGGCTTCATTTGCGCCCGCCTGCGTGCCAAAGGGCAAACTCCAGTGAGGAGGAGGCGGGCGAGGAGGGAGTGAAGGAAAGAGGCGAGGACATAGAGGAACAAAAACCGGCATGCGGCCTGCACAACAACTTTTGGAGCTCCGCGCGGATTTCCTGGATCGACGCTGGACCCCACCCCCTGGCGCGCTCCGCGCGCCAGGGGCGGCGCTGGAGGTGCCGCCAACGGGGCCCAGTGCAGATCCGAGAAATCCGCGCGGAACGTCGAAAGCTTATGTTTATGCCGTTTTTGCTCCTCTTATGTTTACGCCGTTATGCTTATGTCCAAGGAAGAAGGCGAAGAGTGGAGGGAGACGAGCATGGACGGCGACGATAGGGGGGACTGGCATCGGGGGAGAAACATCGACCTGGAATCGGCGACACATCGCCGATTGATCGGCAATAAGGCCCCGATAGCAAATCCGCACGTTACTGGGCGGGGTGGGGCCATCGGGCCCCCATCGGCGATCCATGGACGATTGGGGGTCGATGCGCCCCCCCCCCCACCCCACATGGCTGTCCCCCCCCTATCCCTGCCCCTGAGAGGGGAGAAGCCAGACCCCCAGCGTCGTGACTTCTTCATAACGTCGACCCCCAGAATTCTGGACTTAATTCGGGCGTGTCCCCCTACAGAGGGACTTCGGATGAAAAATCAAAAATATTCAAAATAATGTCAAAAATGTGTCCTCAGAGTATTTTTAAACTATTTTTGACAATTCCTCCTGTAAGGGGTCACGCCCACCGTAAGTCTGGACCTCTCTGCCCCGGGACCGGTCTCTCATCCTGAGCCGCTTTCGGACGGCCCCGAGGCCCAGGGATGGCCCCCAGAAGCCGAAAACAGTGGACAACGTCCGTCGGCGTCGGCACTTTAGAGGTCGGCGGTAACCCGGGTTCTCCGGGGGGGGGAGAAGGGGGCCGGCCGATCAGGTCATCCTGGGAAGGGGGGGAGCTGGGGGCAAGCCCGATCACACCCGGGTTATCGCCGGACTAGGCCCCCCTGCGGCCTTCCGCCGGACAAGCGAGGGCAGCCCCCCGCGGCCCCAGGCCTCCAGGCCGAGGCCCGCTCAGGAGGCCCAAGGCCTCGGGGGAGGCCCTGCCGAGACCACGGCGCCCACCCCGCCCAGCCCACAGCCGCCCAGGATCTAAGACGAAGCCGGGGCGAAGACAAATTCTGGCGGGGATACACCGACGATCTCTGGGAGCCGGCGTCTCTGGAGGCCGTCTCGGGCGCCGCGGCCCTCTCGGAGCGCTGCAGAACGCTCTGGGAGCGTTCCGTAACGCTCTGGAGCGGATTTCTCCTCGTCCTAGCCTTAGGCCGGGCATGTCCCCCTACAGGCGGATTTTTGCAGAAAAATGAAACATGCCAAACCATATGCAAAGATGATCAGAAACACTAAGAAATCGTCACTGGATTATTCTAAAACTTTCTTCCTGTAGAGGGGCATGCCCGACTGAATCCTAGCCCAACACGACCACATCGCGTCAAAGGGCGGCACCAGGACCCTCGACACCTCATGCAGGGTCCATTCCCGACCCCTTTTTGCGGGCGAGCTCCGCTGTGGCGGCGAGATAAGCTTCCAGGACGACGAGAAGCCTCCACAAAAGACCCGAACAAAAAGAAGAACGTCGGGGAATGCCGCCGACTCCTCCTCCTCCTCCTCCTCCTCCTCCTCCTCCTCCTCCTCCTCCTCCTCCTCCTCATCATCATCATCCTCATCCTCATCCTCATCCTCATCCTCATCCTCCTACTCCTCCTCCTCCTCCTCCTCCTCCTCCTTCTCCTCCTCCTCCTCCTCCTCATCCTCCTACTCCTACTCCTCATCCTCCTCCTTTTCCGCCTCCTCCTCCTCCTCTTCTTCCTCCTCCTCCTCCTCCTCCGATGGCCAAGCCCGCCCCCCGCCACGAGCTGCGACGACGGCACCAACTCGCACGAGTCCAGCGCCACCGCCAGCCTTCGCGTTGAGGCCGCGCGGCCGCGACGCTCACGCGACTGGAGGGCCCGCCCGCCCTCTACCGCCCTCCGCCACCCCGCCCTCCCTTTCCAGGAGCAGGAGGAGGAAGACCCAGACATCCAACGTCTTTAACAACATCAAGACGACAGCTTTTTGTTGTCGCTCCCAGCCTCCAGGGGCTCTTACCTGGCCCGAGCACCGTCAGAAACGACGACTCGAGATGGAAAGCCGGGCCCTGGGGAAATGGTCCGGACTCCGGGGACCTGGCATTGAACAAATCGAGACATCGGACCTCTGAGCAAAAATGAGGACGAGGAGGATCGGGAGGGAGGAGGACGGCGGGGTTCGAGGTGCCCGGCGGATATCCGGGAGCTTTCGAACGCTGGATGCTCGGGGGGGGACGAGCATGTTAGACAAGGAGTGAAGTCAGTGAGAGAGTCATGGACATTTGGTCCGTAAGCAGATCAGTCTGCAGGGTCAACGATTCGGTTCTCATTCCCCCGCGACGGTCCGGCTGTGCAGAGCTCCTCCCGACCGCCCAGGAAGCAAGACAGCGAGATGCCAGAAGGCAACGGCTGTTCTCGTCTAAGCACTGGCGATGATGACCAGCAGCGGCGCCAGGCTGACCAGGCAGGCCCATCACGTGCCACTCCCACGCCCGGGATCATGCAGGGGGGAGGCCTGGCCAATCCCGCCACCTGCCGCTGCCGTGCTGGCTACAACCACTCCGTCATTCTCGCCTCGCCTGGGCTGCTCGCCATGGCCTCCGAAGGCGCGGCGAGTGGAGGGGCGCCCGCTGGCGCGCTGAGGACTGCAGCGGGTGTCCCGCAACGAGACGACAATTGCTGGACGCCCGCGGACTATCGCGCAAGCGGGGCACCGCCGCAACTTATCCGGCAAGTCTGCCCATTGGCTGCATGCGTGCCTCGGCAGAGGGACTGGCCCCCAAGCCCAGCCGCACAACGTTCGCCTCGTTCTGGGCGACCCCGCTCTGCAGCGAACGGCATGGATCAATTCCGACTTCTGATTCACCACAAGCGCCGGTCGCACTTCTCCACGAAGCTCGGCAACTGCACGCCGAAGGAGCCCTGCATCCTCAACGGTTGGCCCGATGACGGCCTGCATCTGACCGAAGAGCTCCTCGAAACTGCCCCCGAGATCGCGCCAACCATCCTCGGCGTCGGTCTCCCAGCGCGACGGCCAACTCCTGCTTGATGGTGCTGCCGAAGCCCTGGGCGCCGGATGCTGGTCGGGGGTCGATGGAGCTGGGCTGCGACGCGATAACCTCCTCGAGGCTCCCAGCGGCCTACCGGCGCAGAGCCGGCCGTGAAAGGCCACGGCCAAGGCATAAGATGTCGATCGCCTCCTCGAGCGCCTCCTCAACGGACGCCATGACGGCAGAATGCGCCCAGCGGCCCACTCTCTGGATAGAGGCCCAGGCGCGGCCAACTCGAGCCATTGCCTTCGCCCCCAATCGTCGCATGAAAAGACCTATGATGCCGCCAACGCCAGGCCCTGGCTCAATCAGGGACTTGCCGTTCGCGTCTACCTAGAGAGCCGCGTCGGCCCGCGCCGCGACGACTACAGCATCCTTCACGGGGGAAAACAAAAGATGACGCCGTGGCCCCCACCAACGGCGCGTCCGCCTTCGCCTCCGCCTGCGACCGGCTGCCGAGCCGACCGAGAGCGCGAAGCACGAGTGCCGAAGCAGCGCAGCAAGGGCACGCTGGTCGGCCCGAGGCATTGCACGCGCACCGGGCTGCCTTGGCAACCGCGCGCCCTGCGGTATTAGCCTTCGTTGCCGTGAGCGCTGAGGAGACAAAGCGCTCGTTGTGATCCAAGCGCGCGGAATCCTCGGCGAGCTCCAGGAGCGATAATTCAACCTCCCCGAAGAGAAACGACGAGCCCAGACCCCACAGCTCTGGACCAGCGCATGGCTGCGGAAGCTCGCGCCGCGACGTATCGCCAAGCTCGAGCCGATTCCAAAGCTCTGGGCGCACCTCAGCTGACCGCGTCGGATCGCCAACGCTCCCGCGGAACACCCTCCGCGCACCCTGGGCGGCAAACTTAGCGCCCTCTCCGACCGGCCCGTGCAAGGCGATCTCCTGGACCTGCCGCTGCCTCGCCTCGGCGACGTAGTAGCTGGGCCCCAAGACAGATCGAGCACTTCTTAAAATGCCTGCGAACGCGCGCGCTGAAGCCACAGTTAACGGCAACGGCGGATGGCCACGGTGCGCTGCCAGCCGGGACCGCAACCGAAAGCGGGCCTGCTGCGACTTCCAAGTCCCTGGCTGGCAGCAGAGTCTGTCGCACAAGGCCTCAGCTCGCGCCCAGGCAGCGGCGTTCGCAGCAGTCGCGCGCGCAGCGAAAGGGTCGCCCCGCTTGCGGATCTTGCGAACCACTGGGGGCGCACCCCGCCGCCTACGCACGATGCCGCGGCCGGACGGACCGCGCGCAGGCACGGCGCTGGCAGCCCGTCCCCGGGCGCCCGTGGGGGCGAAATTCAACGCCCACGTGCCCGCGAGGGAGCCGCGGCAATGGCATCATGCCGGCGCTGCCGCCGCCGGGCACCAGCACCACCATTGCGCGCGCGCGGCCACCAACGAGGTCGCCCCAGGGCGGCGCGCGCGCCAGCCCTTCGCCGTCCAAGGCGGCGAACGCGGACACGCCCACAGTATGAGCCGGAGACGGATCGGCAGGCGGGGGCTGGCCGCTGCCGCGACCGACAGTCGGCGAACGCGCGCCCCCGATCCCCGCCTACAAGCCGATGGGCACCGCACGCCGCTGCTGAATGGCATCGCGCTTCGCCCGGAGGCTGGGCAAAAGCGGTCGAGCCGGTCATGCTGCTGACGGATCGCCGCGATATGCGCCCCCTATCACGTCATGGGGAGGCTCGACCAGTTGCACTCCGGCGCGAGCCGCCTGGTACTCTCGCCCGACAGCGCGCCCCATTATGGGGCCTCGCCAGGCGCCGCCCACGTCATGGGGGGGCTCGACCAGCCGCGCTCGGGCGCGAGTCGCCTGGCACTCTCGCCCAACAGCGCGGCCCATCATGGGGCCTCGCTGGGAACTGCCCCCGTCATGGGGAAGCTCGACCGGCCGCACATCGACCGGCTGCAGCCTTTTCCCAGGTGGGTTGCCGACCTTTTGTCGTCAAGAATGCCGCGGCAAATGGCCGCCAGCGTGGGCCCCAAATTGAAAAGAACAGCGCGGGAACCAACGGAGAAATTCGCCAGGTTCGGCCTGGCGAAGTTATCACGTTGCAAGCGCTGTTCGGGGACTCGACGGTGCACTTCATTATGGGGCCTCGCCAGGAGCCGCCCCCGTCGTTGGGAGACTCGACCGGCCGCGCTCTGGATCGACACCTGGTGCGAGGGAGGGGGAAGACGGGGGGGAAGTCACCCTGGCGGTCGCAATGCCTGCGGCCATCGCGCATGGCCAGCTGGCAACCCATTTCCGCCCCGGCAACCCAGCCCGCTGGGTCCTTTCCCCATGAGATCCGACATCTCAAAAAATGAGACGCCGTGAAAAATTGAACCTGGAGACCTAGACTCGAGCCGGATCCATCCGCGAGGGTCCTGGGACCCGAGATTACACGAAAACACCCAGCTCGGAAAAATTGAATCGCCAGGATCTCGGGGCCCGCCCCGGCACCCCGGCACCCTGGGTCCTTTTCCTCGCGAACTCGCAGTCAATTGCGCCACGCATGCAAGCAGGCACGCGCGAGCAACGCGCTGGCGCCGCCAGCTCCGCCGCGGGCGGCGGGCCAGCATTCCTAAACATCCGCGCCGCGCACCGGCGGCGCTCCGCTGCGCGGTTGCAAGGGAGCCCGGCAGGGCAGCCCCTGCGCCCGAGCGGCTCCCAATACCCCCTCGCGCCATGAAAAATCACGACGGATATGTTCCACGATTTTCGGCCTCTAAGGCACTTCCTGGGCCTCGGGACCATCAAAAAACGACTCATGACGAAAAACTGGTCCTGGTGAAGGGTCGAGACCTCCGGGGGTCGACGATATATCAAATTCATGTCTTCGGGGGTCTGGGTCAGCGCATCGATGGAGTTGAGCACGCCAGGGATCGATGCGCTCGCCGATCACCGCTTCACATTCGAGCTCCTCGAGAATAGGGGCGACCTGTCGCCGCCGCGTTCATCGGCGGCCGCGGTAGGGCCAACTTCATGGCGACCCTCACGGCAGCTGCGCTGTCGGTCTGGATGTGGATGACCGGGGAGCTCGCGAGCTCCGGCGCGAAGCACCTCGGGGTGACGAGCGCGGCCGAGATCTCCCACTCTGCCTGGGCGGCTGGGTCGCCAACAGTGGCCCCGAACCGATGGCAATCATCCATGGCGAGCGCGCCTGCCCAATAGAGCTGCCTGCCCGTCCGCGTCGACCAAGAGCCCACCCATTCCAGACGAGCTGGCGTCTGTGCGAATGCGCGCACGCCTGCCGCCAGCACGAACTTCCACGGACACGCGGCGAGCGCGTCTCGCGCGGTCGCCAGCGAGCTGGCGCAACCAGCGGAGCGCGTAGGCGACCTGCTGGACGAACACCATCGGTTTCGCCCACGTGCGCGCGGTCGGACGCGGCCGCGCCGAGGGACGACGGGCCGATAAAGTAGCGCCCCGCAGGCGCGACACGAAAGGCCGCACCCTGGGCATCGGAGACGCAAACAGTGTGCACAGACCCGCAACATGGAGCGCTGCTGGTACAGACATCGCACCCTTCCGATTCATGGCCGCCCCCAGCTCACTGACGACCTCTGCTATCCTCGCCTCGGTGAGCTGCACCCGAACGGCATCCAGCAGCATCTGCAATTCCGCGCCGATCCACTCCGCCACAGGCCCGCGCTGCCCTTTGCGCCAACTGAACTTGAAGCCCATGGCCACCCAGAGGAGCGGCGAGCGCGCGCCTCGAGGCACGTGCCCGCAACGCACGAAATCGGGTCGTCAACGCAGACTTGGAGGCGGAGCTCCCAGGGCATGAACATAGCGTGGCCTGCGCGGGCGGCAAACGTCGCAGGGCGGCCATAGCGTCGGGCCTGGTGCGAGCCCGAAGGCAACAGATCTGAAGTTACACCAACAGTGGCGGCCACGCACAATGACGTGTTCCCGCTCCCCTGGGCGGAGCCGCAGCTGATAGAGGCGCCCGCCTAAGCGACGACGAAGAACTCAACGGGGAGCCCCTCGACGCGAGCGCCGCGCCATTCGACGAGCAGTTCGAGGACGACGGATAGTCGCGGCAGGACCGTTCGCCCCAGGAGCTTGACGCGCCCGATAATGGCATTCTGGATATTCTTACCATCGTCGGGCCGTTGCGCTGACAGGCCGGCGAGCTTCGCCGGCTGGGCGCCCTCGCCCGCGAGCTGCTCAACCTCCTGCCGAGTACTGCGTTCATCAGCGTAGCCTTCTTTGACAATGCGCTGCAAGTCTGCCTTGCCAGCTTCGGCCTCCTCGTGGAACGACTTGCAACTGGCGCGGAGGTCAAGTGGCGTCGGGCGCCGGCCGTGCCATCGCGCAAACGCGCGCGCGGCCTCGATCGCAGCGCTGTCCTCGTTGACTAGGGGAACGCAAATGACGGGGTAATCGCGTGGTCAGTGCCCAAGGGCCACCCGTCAGCGACCCATCGTGGAACCTCGCGGTCAGGGTCATCCACCGCCGATCCGAGGGCCACGAACAATTCTGGCCGAAACCCTCGTTCAGGCCTCGGCGACGTCCAAGTGGAAGTGGCCCGCGAGCTGGTTGGCCGCGTGCTCGACGACACCAGGAGGGAAGCCGCGTGAACCCAAAGACTCCATGCTGCGGATGGCGGAGATCGCGTCCATCCGCTTGTCGACCACGTCCTCCAGAACATGGCGAAGCTCCCGCCCTACCTGCCGGAGTCGCGCACTGCGGCTGGCGCGCGCGCCAGCGGGCTCCGGAGACCGCCGGGTCGGGCGGCAGTCTCCGCTTCCCGAGCTTCCTTCGCCGAGAGTGTCCGCCTTCTGGCGGACGCGCCCTGTGGCTCCGGACTAAGACGTTCGGCCGCGCCCATATCATCTCCGGGCGACGCGGTTGCCCAGGTCCGAGTCGTGATGGGTCCGAAGCGCGACGGCCCACGCTCTGCACAAACCTGCTGGGTAATGTGCGACCCGCTGCGCTCGGGGGCACACCGTCGCGGGCTCCGCGAGCCCCGGGGGCTCAGCCGCGCGGCCGCGCGGCGCAAGTACCTCGAGCCAGCCGCCAGGCCACCTATGGACCACTGCCGGCCTCGGGAGCTCGACTGCCCGGCAAGCGCAGCGCAGCGCCTGGCCACCTCATTGCCATGCTGGGCGTCTGGGGGGCCCCATCCGTCGGACCGCGTCTGGGACCTGAGGGTCTGGGCCGGGGCGCCTGAATCTCGGCGCCGTGCGCGCGCGCGTAGCTGTCGTGCTCGATGTCCATGTACAGGCAGCCTCCCGCTGCTGCCCACTCGAGCGCCCGTTGAAAACATGCGCCGGACATGGTGTCCCACCCAGCAGGCGAAGCCGTGAAGGTGACGGTGGCTGCCAGCATCTCGCGCTCGACGGCAGACGCAATGCCGCCCCGCCTGGCGCCGATCTCAGCAAACCAGGAAAACGGCGCCGCCGCCGGCAGCAGCAAAGATGGCGCTGCCGGGCCAGCGGGCGCCTTGCCAGACGGCCCCACCCAGCGGCGGCTCGCGCGCGCCGAGCGGGGCAGCTCCAGGAGAGCACGCGTCGCCTGCCAGAGGCGGGCCCAATCCATCGCTCGGAACCCTGCCGGCCGCAAGGCGCACGTCCATGGATGAGGATGCGGCCGCGGCGCCGCCCCACTTACAGTACTCCACTTGCCCTTGCCGCCCGTGCCCCCTTTGCCATTGGGGCGGTACTCCTCGGACAGCACGGGGCCCAAGGCAATGCATGCGCACGTGCGCCCGGCCGCGCGCGTGCAGGGGGGCGGGCACTTCAACGCCCCGCCCCGGGCATGGTTGAAGCAGGTCTGCCTGCCGCCGGCGTCGGCGCAGAACAGCCCGTCCTTGCCCCTGCGGGGGTGCTTGCCCACGTCTGGGCCCGCGGCTCCGCCATGCCCGCCGGCGGGGGGGGCAGCCGACCCGCCTCCCCTCTTGCGCCGCGTCGTTTGGCTTGGGGGCCCATTGCCCTCAGCTGCCGCACGTTCCCCAGGCGCGCCAGCCGTCGCCACGTTGGCGAGCGCCTCGGCTGCAGGACCAGAGATGGCCGATTTCGGCGCCTGGCCAGCGCCCCCGCGACTGGCGAAGAACTTACTGGCTGGGCGGCGGACCTCCTTGTCCCAGAACTTGTCGTCGCTCGCAGCGGCCGTGAATACAGCCGACCACGGCGCCTTGGGGTCGAAGCCGTGTAGGTTTGCACCGACCGCCGCCGCACGCTCCAGCTCCCGCCAGATCCTCGGAAAACGCTGCCATCCTGCATTTGTCCTCCCGCCAACAAGTGCCAACACTCGGGGAATTCAATGGACAACTGTCGGGAGCTCTCCTCGTACGCCTCGAGCGCCGCCAGGGTGACCACCCTGGACGGCGTGCCCACCGTGCACGTGCTTGAGCATGAACAAAGTCGCCCGGTACACCCTGAAGCACGCGTACCATGAAGCAAACGTGGGGGGGCATGGCACCTCCACAGGGATATGTACCTGCCGTCCTCCTGCTGCACCCGCGACCGCATCTGGAGCCTCTCCTGAGTTTGCCGACCATGCGGCGTGAAGGTCGAGAAATCGACGTAAGGCTCCTTCCCCCGGATCACGACCTCGTCGTGCACCGCGCTGCTCGGGTCGGGCGACGGCTCGCAGTCCTCGCGCGGGCCCGCCCCCGTGAAGCCCGCGCGAGTGCTGCAGAACCTGGAGATACTCCTCTGGGTCGAGCCCGCGGACCTCCGTCTCCCCAGACCTCCGACGTCGTGATTTTTTCACGACGTCGACCCCCAGAGGTCTGGACCCCTGCCCCGAGACCGGTTCTTCATCCCGAGTCGTTTTTTGACGGTCCCGAGGCCCGGGAAGGGCCCCCAGAGGCCGAAAATGACCCAAAAACCTCCCGTCGTGATTTTTTCACGACGCGAGGAGGTCTGGGTCGTCACACTGGTCGATGACGGAGCTGCACTTCCCTTTCCTCACTGGGGTCGTCGTCGCGGCACCCTGCGGCACCGCCGATATGCGGGTGTCGATAGGCGCTGGCACCGCACTCTGGCTGGTCCGCCGCGAGGGCATCGACGCTCGGATACCCCAGAACCTGCCTGGCTTTAAGTCGGGCCTTTCCCCCTACAGGGGGATTTTCGACGAAAAATAAAGAATACCCCAAACATATTCCAAAAAGGTTAAAGATATTCAAAAATAGTTCCCCGACTATTTTTGGACTATTTTTGGATTATGTTTGGACTATTTTTGATTTTTCGTCGAAAATCCCCCTGTAGGGGGACAGGCCCGACTTAAGGCTACGTGCCACGTGATCGCCATCTGCATCAACTCAGTGGCAGTCGGCTCCCAGTCTCCTCCGGCAGCCACTGCGATCCCCAGGTTCTGGAGGGTGTACCTGAGCACCTCGGTCGGCACGAGGCCCAGCACCCGAATACCAGGGACTCCCCCGAGTGCCGCGCTGAAAGGGTTCCAAGTCTCGTCGGCGATGCCGCTGAGTTGCTTGACCGCATCCACATCGCCGATGCTGGCCAACTCGGCATCGGTCACCAGGACTGGTGCTGCAGACATAGATACGATTGAAGTGAAAGAGAGCAAACCGAATGAATGGAGTGCAACCCAGATGAAACAGATAATGAATGAGCACTGCCAGACTTTAAACTTGAGCCAACATGGCCAACGGAGGCATTCCGACACACTTGCACATAGATTGTAGGCGGGCTCCGTCCCGCCTCACCCACAACGCCTCCCCTGTCACTGCGCCCATTCTGGGCTACGCCTCAATTTTCAACCAGCCATGATGCCCACTCCTGCCCACCCGTCCCGTCCCCAGGAACCTCGCATCCCCGTTTGACGGTGGGATGGGGAAGCGGTCTGCCTCCCCGACACTGCACGTTCGTAGGGATTCCGATGAACGCCACGGGTGTCCACTCCCCCCCCTCCATGTCCCACGAGCGCACGCCCGGGGCGGCCTGCCTGGTCCTGCCTGCAGGTGAGAAGACAAGCAGCAGCACGCCCACTCTCGTCTCCGAGTGGAGGGGGCCTGGCCTCACGTGAGATCCAGAGATCCCGAGCCGAATCGCATCTCTGCAGAGGCACGGCTGCGACGTGGTGAGCGGCGCGCGCGCCTCGGAACTCTAGGGTGCCTGCAGTGGCAGACATCGTGACCATGAGGTGGCATCCAACCGACGAGCAGGGCTCTCAGTTGTTTGGGTCGTGAGCAAGCAGAAATCGATCGTACCAACCATCCCCATCTGAAATTACACGGTCGCAGAGAAAGCTTCTTTTTCTAAAGCGGGTTATCGCTCGAGCCTTCCTTCATTAAAACAGGGTCTCGCGCGAGTCCAAACATTACCACTCCAAGTCCCCCAGCCAGTGCATGCGGGGCGCCAAGCCGCGCCGCCTCACGTTGGCGTCGAGCAGCGTGAAGGTCGTGGCACCGGCCGTGGCCTCGAGCAGCTGGCTGACAGACCTGGACCCCCCCCGGGGGCGATCGAAAAGATCAAAAACCAATGTTCTTGTCGTGTTCGGCCTCTGCGGGCCAATTTCGGGCCTGGGGTCCATTGAACACCTGGCGCGGCCACGGTGGGTCTCTGGGACGTTTCGGGCGGATTCGGGCCGGGCCGTCCCAAGAGCTCCTGAGCGAGAAACATAGGAACGAGGAGGAGAAAGAGCGGGAAGAGGAAGGGAAGGAGGGGAGGAGGGGAGGAGGAAGGGGAGGGGAGGGGAGGGGAAGGGGAGGAGGAGGAAGGGGAGGGGAGGGGACAAGCTAGGTGCGCTCGCGTCATATCTGACGTCCTACCCCTCCCTCCCATCCCTTACCATGGCGCTGATTTTCTCTATCCGCGGACGCGTGTCGTAGCGGACCTGTGGCTCCGCGCGCGCGTGCGTAGTGGGTGGTGGTGCACGTGCGTGCGTGCGTGCGTGTGTGCGTGGTTGTGGTGGTGGTGGTGGTGGTGGTGGTGGTGGTGGTGGTGGTGGTGGTGGTGGTGGTGGTGCTGGTGCTGGTGCTCGTGCTGGTGGTGTTGCTGGTGCTGGTGGTTGTGATGGTGGTGGTGGTGGTGGTGGTGGTGGTGGTGGTGGTGGTGGTGGTGGTGGTGGTGGTGGTGCGGCGCGGTGGTGGCGGGCGGATGGGCGCGCGAGAAAGAGGCCCGCGCTGGGGCGAGAACGCCATCCTGAACGACGGAGGCCAAACACCGATCCGAAAATGAGGCCCACGCTGCAGCGGGAGCACGATTCGGAACGATTCGGGAGCAGAAATGAGGCCGGCGCCTCAGCGAGAGCATCATTTTGCCCGAAAATGACGCCGGCGCCTCAGCGAGAGTCGTTTCCCGGGATTTCCCGGGGATCCTGTGTGTAAAAAAACCGTACGCGGAGGGTGCGCGGCCATCACCCGGACGCCATCAGGGGAAGAGGGAGAGTATATTCATATTGAATAATTGTGGAGGAGAGGAGGAAGGGGAGGGGAAGGAGGAGGAGAAAGATGGGGGGCAATAGGGGTGGGCCGTTACCCCGCTCGCTGGAACCCCAAGGACGGCACAAAACACCCCCGCTCGCTGGAACCCCTGAAGCTGGGAACGCACAGGGCGACCACGACCGCGACGAAGCCGACGAAAACGACAATACCGACAAGGCCGACGACGACGGCGAGACCGACGAGGCCGACGACGACGCACTCGGGGACGGCGCGCGATCGTTCGGCCCGGGTACCGCCTGGGACTCTCCAACGGCCCCAACGGTATCCAGAAGATGTCGCCAGAAATCTCAGCTGGGAGATCCCTCGAGGTCCCCAGGAGCTCCGTTGAAAACACTGGGGGGCCCAAAATCGACGCTGACAAACGCCCAGAAGCCTTGACCCCAGCAATCCAACGAGGTATGGTTTTTCAATGCACGGCCCCGACCCACTCCGCGGGGGTAGTTTTTCGTCCTGGGTCCGTTGATGATGGTCCCTTGGCCCGATGACGGGCCCCAAAGACCGAAATCGAGGAGCCGGATTGAAACCGCCACGCCGTTAGAGATTCACGGCCGGGAAATGTTGCGCAGCGTTTCGTGACGGCGGTCCCGACGACACGCTGCCACGCTGAGCCCTGGAAGCGGACAGCGTGTCGCTCCGCTTCGCGGGGCGGGAGGCTGGACAAGGCTACGCTTGGGGATGGAAGCGTGGAAAGCGCGTCGCGCCGAAGCATGGTGGGCCAGAGCTGGCGGAACGACACAATAAGTCAAGGTTCCTCCATCGCTGGAAAATTTTTCCGGCACCTTCAAAGGCCTCGTAGATGGGGTCGGAGTAGATGCGGTCGGAGGATCGCGCCGCATCGCCGATGCATCGGCGAAGCATCGGCGATGCATCGCCGATGTATCGGCGATGCACCCGCGCTGCATCGTCGACGTCGGCGATGCATCGCCGACGTCGACGTGAAGCAAATCGGGCTCCACATCGAGCCGCATCGGCGATGCATCGGCGATGTGGCGCGATCCTCCGACCCCATCTACTCCGAGCCCGTCTACGAGGCCTAGAACCTTGTGAAGCTGGTGGTGTGGTGATCATCGCGTTTCCGACTGGCTAGTTCCCATCCTGGGCCAACGTTTAAGCCGGCCATGCGCAGGTCCTCCGACAGTCGGATTTCGGACGAAAAAGGGAAGATAGCGGAGGGGGAGGGGAAGGGGGAGGGGAAAGGGGGAGGAGGAGGAAGAAGGGGAGGAGGGGGAGGAGAAGGATGAGCGCACGCCCACTGGGGCAACCGTGTCTTAATGCCTCAATAGAGCTGCGTGACGCGTTGAAAGGTGATGATTCAAATTGCCGAACAACTGTGGGGTTACAGCCAGTTCGGCACGGATCTTATGGAATATACAGTAGGCAAGAGCGGTCAGGTCATGGGCAATCTCTGGGGTGAGATCTGTGCCCTCGCATTTCTCCTCCGATCCAAGGCCAAGCCGCAGGAAAGAGGGGGCGGTGGGAATGTAAAGGCGGCGGAGAGCAATCAAATAGACAGGACGAAGGCAAGAGAGGTAATCGACGAGGGAGTCGGGACAGGATGGGCAGCCCAGTCTGCGTGGCATGGGAGTGGGGATCTTCACTCTGTGGCCGGTGATACATCCCCCCGCCAAAGTCTCAAGGTGGGCCCAGACTTTCGAGGGAGACGAGTTGGCAAGGACACCTCTGAGTCTCTCCCATCGGGTCTATAGCTCATGCAATGATGGGACTTGCTCCTGATCCAACCATGCAAACAGACGTCTGTGCACTAGCTCAGCAAAGCGAATGGGGTTAATTCGTCGACATTAACGAATTAAGGAAGAGAGCCTGAGGACGTTTCCCCTTCCCGCGACGACGACGGCGCCCCCCCCCCCCCCTCGGAACTCGCGCGGCAGGACGCCGCGCGGCGTCGGTGGCCGCCGCGATCGCGTCGGCAATCGCACGGGCAGGGAATGGCAGAGAGACGGGAGAGGGATAGGGCATAGCGGTGGCGAAAGAGCGATAGCACTGGAATGCCGCGGGGATTGCGCCAGCAAGCTGGTGAGAGGAGGCCTTGCCGAACCCTGAGGTGAACACCGTGTGCGTCCGCCCCCTCCCACCACCAGCCCAACCAGGTCTCCCATTCCCTCGTGGTGAAGGCTCTCGCTCTCCATGGATTAGCTGCAACATGCACTTGCATGCTTGTCGGGGCGGCTGAGCGCAGCCACTGACGGAAGCCAGATACATCTCTGAGAGCAAATGTGCTGGGTGGAGGCGGGGCAGCTTGTGTAGGGCATAGTATTCTTTTCGACGCAACTGCTCGCACACTGGAAAAACTGCGCTAACTAGCCAAGAATAGAAACAGCACGTGCACCCATGCAGTCTGACGGCTGCCTCGGACGGGGAACGCGACCACGCAATCTCGAGGGCTCTGCTCCACCATTTCTGTCCAGCCTCTCACCACTGGTCAGTGAGAGTCGCTGCTGGGCCTATCTTCACTCCGAGGTACTTGGCCCATCCAGCGATCTGGAAACTGGACCAAGCCGGGACGAGAGCATCTATGTTGTCGGCGATCTCTTCTTTCGCATCAGTCGCACAAGCAACTGCCAGTGGGACTACCGCGCATTTGGCAGTCTGGAGAGTGGGGCCAGCAAGGGTCTGAGCCTATTGAAACGCGGGAAGAGTCTTGGCAATTGCCGAATAGAGGTCAGGACGACCCCAACATCATCGGCACAAGCTCCCAAGGCTGCGGTCTCTCTGTCGGGGAAGAGGGAGGCGAGGTGACGAAGGAGGGGATCAATGCCTTGGGCCCAGAGAGAGCCAGGGAGGGGGCAACCTCGAGTAACCCCCGCCGCAATCACAATCACGGGCACAACTTGTGGGCAAATCGCCAAGTGCGCCACGGCACCTGCTGAGAGGGAGTGTTCAGCGAAAAGGAAACTCCTGGGAATGCAGCACCTCTCCAGAACATGTCTGAGCCAGGTCTGACTCGCGCTGGGGAAGGCCGCCCGAATGTCAAAACTTAAAAACAGCGGGACTGACTCCTCATTCACCGCGCCCGCACGACGGGCAGCAGTATCCATTCGGCGAATAGTGTGGCCGAGGTTGCGTCCATTGGCGAATCACTGCTGGAGAAAGTGAACCCTCTCGACAACGCAATGTTGTCATTGCCAAATGAGCGCTGATGCGAGCAATTTGCTGTCTGTGGTTCTAACCGACAGTGGGCGGAGGGTTCCTGGCTCTCTGACGCAATCGGTTACATCTCGAGCTTCTTCGCCTTTTGGCGCACAAGCGAGCGGACCGCGATTGAGGCCTGGCGGTGGAGGGTGGCCACCCATGGGGTGGGGAAGGAGGCGATGCAGGACGACGAGGCAGGAGGGGTGGCCTTTCCACGCAGCATATGGGAGTCTGTCTGGGCCTGGGGCTAACTGAGTCTCTAGAGCGGCCGAGACAGTTTCGCATTTCTGCCAGGGGCGGAGGATGGAGGGCAGGGGGGGGGGATGTTTTGGTCCAGAAAGGCCGAAATTTCTTTCTCGGGCCTTGGCGCATCAGAAAGAAATGGCCCCCAATGGTTCCGAAGCGCCTCGGCAATGGGGTATGGGCCTCGGGCCGCCTCGTCAGTCTGGTTGCCTGCCTGAGAGACTCTCGCCCCTTTCAGCACCAGTCGGCGCTGACGAGGGCGCCAGGGGGGAGCGCGGCGGAGCGACGTAGTCTGCACCTTGCCCCAGTGCTGAACTTCCTGGGGATTAGAGCGCATTCAAGAGAGAGCCTGGAGCTGGACTTCTTTGTGCCCGCGGGAATTCTGGCGGATGACCTCCTCGCGGAAGCTCTCTTCTTCTGTCAGCAAAGCTCCCTTGCCTACAATGAAAAGGGATTTCTGCGCATGCTCAGATGTCTCCTGGGCGCGAGCTGCCGCTGAAAGATCATGGCGCCATATCGCACGAGCAATAGATCGGAGGGCCAGGCATCTAGCCTCAAGATTGTCATCGCCGCCTACTCCCCTGGGATATTTCAAGAGCTCC